AAAAAAAAAAAAAAAGATATTGACTGATCGTTGTAATTAGGCAATGTTATCTTTGACTAAAGTCAGTTTATAACCATAAGGAAACATTTTGACAAAACTATAAACTCCACTTTTATAAACTATAATTTAGTGGTAAAAAATCAAACTTCTTTTTTCTAAACTTTTCAATTTCCTTTCAACTTTCAATAAATATAAACTGTGCAAAAAAAATGACCAAAGACATTATAACTAATATAATATGAATGATATAGATACAGAAAGAAAAATACGACAACTATTTGCTGTAATAAATTAAGTAATTAAAGAAATTCTATTCACAAAAATAAATATGCAAAAAAACCCTGCAAAAGGAAAAAGTAAGAGGAAGTTTAGGGACAAGAAAAAAGAGATGAGCCGATAAATACCGATGGGAGTTGAAAAAAATTTAAGTTCCAACTGAAAGCTAATAATGGTTTTTTGATACTGCTTTAAAGTTAATCTTTAATCTTCGAAAACCGAAATCAAAACTAAAAAAAAACAGTTTTCTTCTTTAACCTCTTTTTTATTTCAGCTCTTATAATTTCTCAATTTTTTCAATTGAGAACCTGATTGTTTAATAGACGTTATATGAGCATTCAGCAAAATTCTTCTTACCAGTGATACTGTTTATTAGCAACTGCAAAAGATTTACATTCAAAAAAAATATCAAGAGCAAAGAAATATTTTTATTTATTTAATATAAAACTGCAAAAGCTAAAATTGAGTTAATCCGTGTTTTCTTCGCTTTCGTAATTTTCATTTAAGTCATTATTTAAAAAAAAAAAAGAATTGAACAAATGATGCTAATAAGTTGTAAAAGATAACGAAAATAATCTGAAGAAAAGTAAACTAGTAGACAATATTTAGAGTAAAAAAAAATCTTTGAAAATTTTACATATTAAAAAACAATAAATTAACAATGTAAAAAAGAAATTTGCTTTTGTCAAACACCAACTGGTAAAAAAAAATTCCATGCAAATTTCTTGTTTCCAATGGTATATCCAGTAAATGACGTAAAAGAGATAGATGAAGCTCATTTTGCTAAGTGGAAAGAAGATGACTTAGTTAAAAAACGGGTAAGTGTTAAGTTTTATCTTCGCCTTAAAATCCTTGGAAAGACTTTATAACACTTTGAATATTTTAAATCCACATTTCCCGTCTCATCCTTCCTTCCCCCTGTCCTTTTCCAACCCCCTCAGTAGAATCCCACGAAAATCTATACATCGCGCCGCCGTCCGTCATGCTACTGACAACAGTAAAATTACCACTGTAGGAGTTACTACACAATTTAAAATTGTCAACTTTAAAAGTTCATTTTGCTTTAATAGATCAACGATTGAAAAAGAAAATTACTATGGTTTTTAAAAAATAGGTTGGAAGCGCTAAATGGCGTGTACGTGACCAGCTCGATACATGGAAGTGCAAAAACGATCGACAGAAAAAGGAGAAGTTCTTGGTACTTCAGAACACATATTCTCAAACAGTCGCTATTCAGTGCTAAGCTGTCAAAAATGCAGTAATCTTTGCTTCTAAAATGAAGAACAGGAAAAAAAAGAAGAATAAAGAAAAGAAAAAAGGACAGGAGAAAGTAGCAAACAATGAATTCAAAAAGAAGAAAGCTAAAGACAAAAAACTGTCTTCTTTCTTTCTTTTTTTCGTTTCTATTCCGCTGCACAACAAAGCTGCGTAACACATATCATATCAAAGTTTCCATTTTTTTTGAATTTATAATCTTTTTGCTTTTCTCAATTTCAAGCAAAACAGAAGCAAAAAATTTTATTTATTGAATATGAAACTAAAGTAGATGCATAAATGAAAGAATAAAGGTAAAAAAAAAGAAAAAATTACAAGGAAGAAGAAGAAGGAGAAGACGACGACGAAAAAAAAAGAAGCATATACGCATCTGACTTCACGACAAAAAACAACATTCCTTCTTTTTGTTTGCAACAAGTACCAAATATTTTTTCATAAGAAAGAAGCAGAAAAAAAAAATACATTTAAACTGACAATGGTATCTGTACGAAAATTTCTAAAAACTTTTGGCAATGTCAATACCTTAAAATAACTGCAAGTTGTTCAGAGACGTACTGGTATCAAAATCTTAAATACAGATTAATTAGTTGAAGATGATTTTCTCTTAATCATGGTAAAATAATAATGTTTACAAATAAATTTACAAAAGGCTAGATAATCTACAAAGCTTTCAGTATTGCTGTTAATGCTGATGCTGATGTTAATACTGATACTGATGCCAGTGCCACTGATCATTGTAATAATAGATGAAAAAGTTGATGAAGATTTGCGATACTAGTATCTGGGAAAATTGCACCGATGAAATAACAACAAAGAGCAGATAAAATTTGAAAAAAAAGAAAAAAAAAAACGAAAACATAATTTTAGATCAAAAAAAAAAGTACCACAACTGCTAGATTTTTTTTTCTTCTTAAGATAAGGCAATAAGTTATGAGTAATATAATAAAAATAAAGAAAAAAAAAGCTGAGAAAAAATGTCATTAAAACACTGACTGTATGCATCCTGAACAACAAAAAGTTTAGTCACAAGGATATGAACAGATGTTTCTTCAGCAAACCAAACCAAACCATGAAAAACTGCACTGAAAACTTTCTCAACAAATAATTTGAAGAGTGAAACAAAATAAAAAGCAAAAAAGCAAAAAAAAAAAAAAAGAACGAAGCACAAACATTTCATACAGTCAAAGAACGTTTCCATCTCATTTGTTTTTTTTTCCAATTTTTTCCCTTCCCCCCTTTCCCCTTCTTCCCTCCATTCCCTCCGCAACAATCCAATCACCTAAAAATTGAAAAAACAAAGTACTGTTCTATGTATCGTTATTGCAAAACTGCAAACAAGCTCCGTAGTCAATCCATTGCTGGAGACAGACAGTTCAACAAGTTTCAGATGCTGCTGTGGCTGCAGTTGTTGCTACAACTACTGGTTTGATTGCAAAACTTTGACATACAAAACTGAGGGTCCGTTTACCATTCAAACAAACCTCAACTTCATCATACAGCATCAGTAAATCAGCATCATTGGGAAGCACTTGATGCTAATTCAAGGAATTTTTTTACCCCTTCAACTCTCTATTTCTCAATTCAACTGAGCATTTGTTGTTTTCCACCAACAAAGTCTCGTTGCTAAACTGCTGCATAAAATGGATTAAAACATTGAGGAAGGAAAAAAGACTTTTTTCCAAACTTTTTTCCAAAATTATTTTTTATAAAAAAGAAATTTTTGTTGTCACTTGGGAATTGACTTTTGATCAAAGAAATTGTCACGAAAGCAAAAAAATGTCAATAAACAACAACAAAAAAAATTTCAACAGTTCAATTTAAACTAAAACGGTGTTAATTTTTTGACTAAATTTAATCAAAAAAAGAAAAACTGAAACATAATTTAATGATTTTTGAACGCTGATCAAAAATAAAAGTAGAGCAAAGCAAAGAAAAGCAAAAAAAAAAAAGTTTGCTGAAATTATACGAACACTAAACGTGGAACGACACTTAACTATTTGAAAAACGATCAGCCGTACAGAATTGGTGCCCATTATTTTTGATGATCAAACCTTCCTTCACTCATGTTTGCACAACCTTTACAATCAGCTTATCAAAAAAAAAATTTCTTTTAGGTTTTTTCTTTTTATTTGCTGTATGTAAAAGAGAACGAAAAGAAAACGGTGAAAAAAAGTGGAAAAAATCCTAATTTTTTAAATAAAACAAAAAGGAACGAATAAAAATATATTTTGTTCCAGTTGTTTTTTTAGCTCTTGCAAAAAAACTGTTATATATTTTCTGAAAGACTTGATGACTGTTCGAACAATTACTACAGACTGGTCCAACAATTTATTTCAAAATTCATTTTATTTCTGTAGCAACAATAGCTGCCACAGAAGATCAAAAATTTTTTTGTACAGTATCTTTGTACAGACAGAATTCTGCGTCAACATTACAAAAAATTACTGCTGTCAACAACTGAATTTCAAAGTGAAGATGGAAAAATTTTTTGCTTTATAGACAAATTTTAGAACTGTAAATTAACCAACAAAAAAAAAAATAATAAATAAAATAAAATAATTAAACATACATCATTTCAGCTTTTTCACTTTTTGATATCCCACATTATTACTGTCATTTGGTCAATGAAACAATTAAGCAGTTCATAAACAGAGCAGAAAAAACAGAGACAAAGAGACAAGTAATTGAACTACGGATGGGATAATCATTGTTGATGGAAAATGAGGTAAATGAGGAAAAAAATTGTACAAGAAAAACCCAAATATATATTATTGACAAAAATACCTTCTGATCTTTAAAAGGTTACATGCAAAAAGAAAAAAAACCTACAGAAAAACTAAAGTTTCTTATTAAACAACTGACAACAATGCATGTAATATGTTTCGCTGATGACAGATTACGTTTCAGGTTTTTTCTCTTGAAATTTTTAGCCTTTCCTTTTTCCCACATATGTTTTCTAAAAAAATAAATATTTTCTTTTCAAAGCAGCAAAAAAATTCTTTCTTTTTCCCTCTTTAAACTTTTATCAGAGATATGCAGTACACCTACCAGCCATGAAAGTCCTTTTTGACTGATTGAAACAACTTTTTTCTTTTCTTTGAAAGATCCACTGTACTATGTTATTTTCTTTGTGATTCAAATACCATGTGATATGTACAGCATTAGGAGAAAAAAACTAAGAT